CGGCGGTAGTTCCAATTCCCCTCCGAGTTGAGCCATTCCGAGGTGACGTGCTTGTTGCGTGCCTCCTCCGTGGCTACCGCCTGCTGGGCCAGGTTCATGAGCTCGCGGATCATGCAGGCAATGAGCACCGTGCGAAGAGGAGATTTGAGCTGCTCCGGCTCCAGTGACTTCTTGGCCTTCCAATCGCGAGAGATGCGCATGAGCGTGCCCAGTGTGCCGTTGGCGTCGTTGCGCAGGAACAACACGAAGTTCTTGTCGTTGCGCAAGCGGCTGATGATGTCCTCCTGCTGCAAGACGACGCGGCCGAGCAGGTTGATGTGATTCTGGAGGGGATGCATCGGCCGTGATGGAGGCGGGCCCCCACGATGATGCGGCTGATTCGGTCGCTGTGCTGGCGGCATGCTCCAGCGGTGTTGCTCCGGTCTCTGGCGTTTCTGAGAGCGGCCGTCCTCCAGGTAAGGCTCCGGCCCGGTCCATAGATTGGCAAAGATTTCGGCCTCCTCGTGGGCAAAGGCGTCCATCGTCAGTGGATCCCCGTACATCCTGACAGTGGAGCACGGCCAGGATGAGTTGCACTAGGGGGGTACACTGTTGCGTGTGGCGTTTTGGGGCGCCGACACGATGGCCGCACCAAATGCACGAGCTGTCCCGTCGTAGATGACTTTTGAAGGAGGTGCAAAGGTCCAGGACACGGGGAAGTAGGGTAGGGTTGTCTTGGCCATGTATGCGATTGTAGTGTTGCTTCATATGACGATAGTCTGCAACCCACATGTGGCAAATTGAACAGTAGTTCTTGAGCTCCTGGCGTAGCTCAGGCACAGACAACCACTTTTCCCAGTTGCCCAAGCTTGCAAGAAAAGCTTGACGCTTGACCAGAGGCAGGTGCATGACATTTTCTTCCGCAAAGACTGCAAGTCCCGCGGTGGGAGGTGGCTTGATCGGCGCAGGTGCGTGCGCCTCCGAAGGTGGCGCGCGAATCATGCTGTCGCCTCCCAGGGCTGCACAGGCTCCGGTTTCAATGTGGAGCTTAAGGTGAGACCACCTGAAGAATTGGCGCCGGCAGAGACGGCAGGCCGGCATGCCTGCTGTGGAATGAAGCTCAGGCACGAACTCAGTAGGGTGGTGATTAAGCCTGGGGGGGAGCTGACCATGCTTGAGCTTACAATGTATCCGAACTGCATTCTCAGAAATGAACAGCTCAGAGCAGTGAGGGCAACTGATGGACGGTGCGCTGACCGCCTCGGTGGCGAGAGTCTGGGCAGCGTCGAGGAGCAGCGCCTCGAGACGGCCGGCGAGGATGTCAACATGTGCAAGAGCTTGGGGAGTGCTGGTAATGTCGGTCCCCGATGCGGCTGTCTGCTGTAGTTTGGTTTGATGCTGTAGCAGAGAACACTGGATGGTCCAGCCTGGCATCGGCTGGCCGGCTTGATGCCACACGGCTTGATTGGTGACATGCGTCAAGTGAGCCGGCACCCGGAGGATGGCACGAAGATGCCTGGTGAGCACCGTAGTCAAGCGCTTAAGGGTTTTAGCGGTCACTCCGACCACGTGCTGGGAGTACATAACGCTGGAGCAGACACATGCTTTCCACAGTCGGATGCGATGATCCGTGTCTAGGGCGTGAGCCCCGTTCAGCAGCTTGCGGAGGCCCTGGTAATTGGCACGGGCGGCCTTGATGCGGTGCTCCATGTTGCGTTCAAGCCGACTATGATAGGTCACTATGGTGCCTAAGTAGACGTGCTGATCCCGAATGGGAATGGCTTGTTCACGACCATGCACCCAAAGACGCAAGTGAAGCTGCCCCGCCTTCATGAAGGTGTGGTTCCGCCGAAGTTTCTTGGACTCCTTGCCAACCAGGTGAAGAAGAATTGCTGTCTTATCAAAGTTGACGATCATATGAAGGGATTCAAGAGCTTCAAGGATGAGAGTGATGTCGGAGAGGGCTTGTTGGAAGTCAGCCGCCGAGGCAATAGCCCAAGCTCCCCAGGCATCATCAGCGAAGAGTGACAACACCCTCTGAATCCAGGACAAATCCCTTTGATCGCGCAAAAGAAGAAGAAAAGCAAGGGAGAAGAAATTCCAAAGGTAAGGTGCTATCACACAGCCCTGCTTGATTCCATTGGTGGTGAGGGTAGAACCCTGACTGTCACCAACTCGGTAGATGTACCGGGCGCGATGGTGCAATTGCTGAACGATAGTGATAACGGATGAATCGACGCCCTGTTTCTTCATTTCCTGGTAAATGTGAGAACGTGTGACCCCGTCGAAGGCCTTGGATAAGTCCAAGGAGAGGCTGACGCCTCCGGCGCAGCCGCGCGTCTTTTGGCCAGCCTGCTGCTGAAAGCGAGTGGCACGGGTACGGCTGACGAGCTCAGTGACCTCTTCAAAAGGCTTGGGAATCCAGACCACGCTGCAGTCCTTCCAGTCCGTGTCCAGGGGGGCACTGGTGCCCCGGCGAAGATGCAGAGTCAAGGCATGACTCAGGACCTCACCCAGGTCAGAAGAGCAAAGCTTCCAGACTGCGGAAGGGGCAATATGCTTGGGAACGGCCTTGGCAGGCCCAAGTTTGGACAGCTCAGCTGCCAGGTCGGCGGCAGGTATGACTACGTCCTGGGCTAGGGGGAGTATCGGGTGATCATCATGGTGCTTGGCAAAGGTGGCATTACCATATTGGATGATGGCTTCTAGCTCCTCGTCGCGGGTGAGGAGACGACCGGAGTCGTCCCGGAGTCTTCCTGCCAGCTGGCGGGTGCGCGGAGACAGCCTACGAACAATGAGGTGTAGGCCTCTTTGGTCCCCTCGGCTGGCCGCGAGTTCGGCGTCTTCAACCTGTCCCTGGAAGACTTGCTTCTTAAGCCGCTGACTGCTTTGGCGGAGGGCTTTTGAGGCGCTGGCGAACTGAGTGGCAAGTCGCCACTTGGCGAAGATGTTGCGGAAGGTGCACACACCTGAGCGCTTGAAGGCGTGGTAGAGGCCCCACACTGTCCGTGCAGTGACACGAAACGCAGGCTGAGCGCTGATGCGGTGGTCTGGAGCAGGCTGAGCTGGAAACAGCGCGCAGGTCTCCTCTAGAAGGATGCGGTTGACATGCTGGTGTGCGGTTGAAAGCACGGACGCGTCGACGTCCTGTAGCCGAAGGCCGACTCGGTGCTGCAGCTCCTGAGCCAATGGGGCTCCGGAGCGCACTGCGGAGCACAGGGCTTGTGCATTGTATGCAGGCGTTTGTGCAGGGCGGGTGCGCCTCCAGGAGAAGGGCCGAATCGGATAGGAAACCCTTATGGGGAAGTGACCGCTAAGTCTATCACTACCTACAGGAAAGGCATGATCAGGGTATGCAGTACGGGCGTGATGGCCCGTGTCGGCGCAGCGCGACAGCACATAGTCAATCTGGGTCTGACCGCTAGAAGAGTGATATGTACAGTGCGGCTTGCAATGCCAAGTGTTGAGAGCACACAGTGAGTGCTTATACAGGAGGGCCTGCAATCCATCCTCTGTGCGCGAGGAACACTTAGGAACAGCGCTGCCCACAAGTGGCGGCTCACAAGTTAGCGTTGAGTTGAAGTCGCCGCATATCAGCAGGGCGTGTCGACTTGGTATGCGATGCAAGGTGGTGTCAAGCTGGGCCCAGATAGTTTGGCGGAGTTCTCTGTTGCGGGAAGACGTAAGATGTGTACGCCAAACATGCTGATAGATGCCTACTATACTGACAGGAATCTGGGTGTCACGGTGAGTGGCCTGAACCAGAGCTAGCCTACCTGGATTAATGTCAAGGAAGCGGGGGTCCTGGAAGGTCTTGCGCTTCAAGAGAAACAAGAGGCCTGTGTTCCTGCCGAAGCCGTCTGGATCACAACGTCCCGACGTATGCATAGCCAGCCAAGGGCCGGCATAGTAGTCAGAAGTCTCATGCCAATGCGATTCTTGCACTACCACAATGTCAAGCTCAGCACAAGTTTCACACCAAGCAAGGAATTCCTGATACATGGAGCTAGTCAGTCCCCCTGCGTTCCACGACAGAATCCGAAGGTGCCTGTCGAGCGTAGTGCGGCGCACCGCGCGTTTGGCAGTTGACCTGGGAATGTCGGGGGTGGGCTTTGGGAGATGTCCAAGAGTGGATGCGGAGTGCCACTTGCCTTTGTACCAGGTGCCCTGGAGGGGCGATGCATGAGCTCTATTGCGGGCTCTACGGAATGAACGCTTAGTTGATCGGGGAAGGCGTATGCCAGGAAACTGGGTAGCTGGCGCCTGGGGCGGCACTAAGTCGCGATGCTTCCCCGCCGCAGTAGCGACGGGTTCCCCTCCTGCCGCGAAGCCAGGAGGAACCCGCACCCCACCTGCCTGATGAAACAAACTGCACACAATGGACATGGTAAGGCAGGCTCCGGACTTGGGACCGGAGTGACGCACGGTGAGTTGCTTATGAGCAGCGGTTGAGTTAGCTAATGGGGGTGATAACCATTGCGCTAAGTAGGTCCGCAAGACAGAGGTGGCTCCTTCTGCAGCAGCCGTTTTGGCGTGAAAGAGTCACTCTGCACTTGGCTGAGGTTCCTGTGAGGAGGCTTATCTTGAGGCTGGGGTCTACACTTAGGGTGGGACTTAGGGTCAGGGTGACCGAGGGTCTTAGGGGGGTGTGCTTGCTTGCCATGGTGGCTCCTGGAGCGGGCTACCAGCAGTGAGCCGAGGTAGGGCAGTACGAGCTCAATCGTCATCTGCAGGGTCTCGGGCACGATGAGCACGACGGGGCCGGCGTGGGTGGGTGTGGGCATACTCCCAGTCCGCCCATTGCTGCAATCTTTCGCCAGAGAGGGAGGCGTGTGCTGCTCGCTGCAGCCGCCACCAATCTTGACTTGATAGTCGGCGCCGTAGAGCACCAACTCTGGCACCCTGAGAGCGGCTCGTAATTCCCGGAACAGTGGCTGCAAGCTCCATGCGGTAGAGACCCAAGAAGTGGCCGAGGGCTTCCTGCAGTGCTGGTCCATCCAGGCACACGCTGTTGTCGCTCCAAGTTGAGGAGTTGCGAGAGGAGCTGCCACCATCATCGGAGCCGGAGCCACTGTCCTCTGCTGATTCACTGGTGGTTTCAGCAAAGCGTCCATTTGGCAGGTGTGGTCCGGCAACTCGGACATGGCATTCCCTGCCGGACTTATCAGTTTCAAGGACCGTGGGCCACCGCCGCTCTGGCTCATCGTCGCTGTCGTCGTCCGTGTCCTGTGCAGGCTGTGGATCGGCAGAGGCTCGAGCGCTGCGAGAGGAGACCATAGTTGCACCTCCAACGGGTATTGGCGGGGGAGGGCCCTTGGGCAGGAGGTCAGCAGCTCGTAGAGGACCACGATTGTGATCATGCGGAGTGTTCTCGGTGTCGTCGATCGCCGCGTCTTCAGCTGCAGTGGGGTCCATGGCTCCGTCATCCATACAAGTTTCACCCAAGAGACACCAACCAAGAAGAAAGGAAAAGCCCCGGAAGACAAAGGAAACCCGGGCACTCACCTGTGAGCCAGGGGGCTTCATCATCATCATCATCATCATCATCATCATCATCATCGGCATCATCATCAAGGTTCTGATCGGGGTCAAGCGGTGCTACGCTCCTTTCATCCGCATTGGCATGATCATTGTCACCATCGTAGCCAGCCACCAGACGAATGAAGGACAAAAACAACCTCTGCTTCTCTACTTTGTGCATGCCGACCTCGTAAGGGCACTACACGGCATAGCCACCCTTCTCCTGTGGCTGTGTCACAACGGGCAATTGACAGTCACTTTCACCAGCCGCAGAGTTACATAATTTTCGCGCAGGGGGCTCTGGCTCGCTGATTCAGAACCTTACGCAAGCTGGCGAGCCTTAGATAGATTTCTTAACTCCGGAGTCTAACGCTGGCCAAACAATGCGGTAAGCAGAATGGAAAATACTGGTGGCATGACCATTGCGACAGCAACGATGACGACGACGACAACGGATATGACGACAACTTCTTCTACTGCTGCTGTGACGAACCTTTCATCTATAAGTAAATTTAGATGCGCTCGCAGCCGCTGGCACACGCATCCTCCCGTGACGAGACTCTGCAGCGGCCTGCACCTCCCTGTCCCACTCTTGCATCAGGATCGGCCGTTCCCTGTCGGGTCGAGCAGTACACTGGCAGTACGGTCAAAGTTTCGCGGTTTAGGAATAAAGGTTCAGATCCATTTGTTCGACTTGCGGTATCGCAGCAGCAGCCCTAGAATCCTATCAATCACAGTTTCACAGGCAACCGTTTCGAAGATTCAGTGCTCACTTTTGGAATCCTGCAAGAAAACAGGGCCCGAGGCGACTTCCAGATCCTCTCACAAGGAAGTCTGAAAAGCTGATTAAAGGGCTGCGCCTGCGCTAGATGAGATTGTGGGTCCCGAAACCTAGACAACTCAACCCTGAACCTTAAGCCGAAAGCCCCAAGCCCTGAATGCTAGTAGACTGCCAGAGTCCTGGCCGAACGTGCTGTAGAAATAAACTGAAATCCACCTCCCTTTAGCTCGGCTGGTTGTCTTAGAATTGGGAACCCTCCGGCGAAAGCCTGAAGCAGGAATTCCAAAAGCACACAGCCTCAGCGCCCCTTTGCACACCCACCCGGGACCAATACTGCATCTTGCGGCCCGAAGTTCGAAGCACGAACGCCGCGAAGGAGCACACCTATACACACTAAACACTGTGACACCCTAAAACAGTAAATCCTTCGAGTCCGCTCTCTCTTACTGCATGTCTCGCCAGGTAGCAACTTGAAGCTCGGGCAGAAGCTCCCGCGTTCGTCGAAGGTGTATTTCTCCTGGTCTCCAATGCGCTTAGGGAATCGGGCCTAAGGTCTAAGGGTTGGCGGGTGACTTGCCCAGACCTGCTTCCTAATCCTTTGGCCCAACTGAAGCCAATCCAAACATCCGAACTACGAGCAGGATCACGCAAAGCCGGGACTTGGAGCTTCGAGGACTTGGGTCTGACAGGAAGCTGGACTTTGGTGATTGCAAGGAGGGTGGTGCTGCTGCTGTACTGCATCGCCATGTTGTAACGAGGAGCCATCAATAGCTGGAGAAGAACAAGAGGCCCCGCCACTATGCTTCCCGATCCTGCAGCTTGCTGCCCCGCTCTTTGTGCCAATGTCCTCAGCGTCGAAACGTCCGCGGCCAGAATACTAGCATGGTGGACTTGGGCTTTTGGGTCCTTCAGCACTTCAGTGACTCTGACGGCACGGCGCACTTCACTGCATGCTGCAAGGACCTTAAGATCAGAAGTTTGACAACCACCACTGCCCTCGGTGGTCTTGGGTGAGCGAAGGGGTGCGGTCGAGGTGAAGTCATACAGCTACCAACGACGAGTTCTAGCTGCTAGCAGCACCCTGAACCGGACAGAACGCCTCCCATACCCTGCAAGCCAAAAAGTGTGTGACACCAAACGCCTAGTTCTAGTCGCCAAGAAGAGGCCCTGAAACAAGCAGCATATTACAAAGCCTGGCTTCTTACTTCGGCATCCAGACGCTGATCCTCCTTTCAACGATGTTGACAGGTTTCGCTCGTGTTCTGGCTATGTACTCACTGTGGCTGTACGTTCGTAGCTATGCTTATCATTGGTCTTTCAGTCTTCGCTGATAGGATCATTCTTAGATGTTTTCGTGAACGTTTTTCGAAGTATGATCCATCCTTCTACGGCTTTGTGTCCCAATCAGGATTTCCCAGCGATGTCAATCCTTTGAGCGGCTTTCTGAAACTTTCTCACCATCATCATCCTCATCACCATACTCATCTCATCAACCACAGCAGCATCATCTTAGTCTTCTTTCTCCGTCAACCTTTGAAGCCTTGTCGAGTGCATGCTGATAGGTCGGCATCTTAAGTTGACATATTGGTTCTGCTCGTATCTGTTCAACACACGCGTGAGTGAAGTCGGGCCTGTGCGTTTGAGCTTGGAGTTCAGGATAGAAGCGGTCAAGGGCTTCAAGAGTTGGATCGAAAAGGGTTGTGGATTTGGGCTGCGTGGCCGTTCAGGATTGGCGGCTTAATTGCCATCTTCTGTGGAACCGCCAGGACACACCGGTTCAACAGAACATGCCCCGGTCCTACACGCCCGCTCCTTGCCCTAGCTCCGATGCTGGAGGTGTACGCCCACACGGCCTCATCCCGAGCCCAAGCGTGAACCCTGGACTCTTCATCCAACGAACGCCGGCAGCGCCTGCTCCCTGCGGAACTCGTCCCGCGAAACAATAGGGCCTCAGAGCCATGCTAAATCACGCAGAAGACGCCGGAAGGACCAGAGCAAAGCTCCATGTGGACGGCTTTTGCTGCAGCCAGGTTGCACATTTTTTCGTGCCCTTTCTTGAGGACGATGGCATCGTCGATTTTATCCTTGATTCTTCAGGGCACCGGTATGGAAGTGCCACCACTGTGATTCCCTTCCAATTAATTACTGTTCATTAGACGTCGGTGTATCAAATAAAAACATCAGCACCACTGGTGCCTCTCACGGGCCCAGCACACAGCCGGGAACAGGAACAGTAGCATGGACAAGACCACCCGAAGCGTTGAAGTTGAAGCACCCTGAACCCCTAAGACCCACACTAAGTTCACGCCCACCTGAAGCCTGGCGGCTGCGACAATCACCTCGATGCCGGCATCAGCATCTTTCAGAACAGCCAGACTCTCACGCTGCCCGATGACCAACAGCTTCGTGCCTGTTGAAGGTTGGTTGGTGTGTAGGGCTCAAGCGGTATCATATTTCACTAGACTACACAGACTGTTCTGTCGGTGATTCCCTTATTTTTTGCCAGAGTCCTGCGAAGCTTCACAGGGCAGCGCAGAGCAGAGGTTTGCGCGACTTGCTTCATGGCGCTTGCAAAGCTGGGAGATCCTGAGATCCGTCCTTCCAAATGTTTCATGCAGTCGCCTTGTCTCCTGTAGTAGTCCACCGCAAGTTTCACACCGGCGAGGTCAAAGCCCTTCTTGCCGAGCACCTGTGTGCAGACAGGGGACAGAAAAGAGCTTTCTTCTCTGCTTGTGGCTTCTGCAAGGAATCCAGAAAAAGATATGTTCATCCGGCTATATTGACCTTCGAGCAGCCTATGTAGCGAAAAAAGATGGTCTGCGAGAAGCACATTCCAAGAAACCTCACAAAAACACTAGGGTTCCAAAATTCAGCATTCATCCTGGGATCAGCATTGAGAGAACACAGTGCGGAGACGGCAAACTAAATTGTCTCTGCAGAATATCTAGGCACAAGCCGCCTCAATCTTCGGATCCGGTCCCACGGCACCGCGAAACTTCGCTGCGGGTGCTACACACAACCAGGTGCAGCAAGCTTTGGCAGAGAGATCCTGGAACTACATTCCTCGGCAACACGACGGTAGAGCTACTGTTCGGATCATTTGTCACGGATCAGGCCGTGATGTGCAACGGATCGGGGGCCCTGTTCAGAGAACCACGTATCATATCAAGGGCCCCTAAACCCTAAATCCTAACACCTACAAACTCTAGGCCCGTCCCTCTGATTTACTTCGGCACAAACGCAAATCTGAGCGGGGAATCCGTTACGCGACACCGTTTCACGCACCCTCGAAGCCGACCCCCGCAGCTACTGCAACACGAAGTTCAAGAATCCGGGATGGATTCGGGGCGTCGGATTCGAGTTTCGGGCCCACCCGCTGGCTGTACGTGAAGCCGATGTTTTCAGCGTCAAGCACGCGCCAGTCCAAGTCCTTAGTAAGGCACATGATGACGAAAGATTGGTCCCGAGCGCCACAAAGAAGGGTAAGGGGGAAAGAAGCTCCCTCACAGTCGGGCATGAAGCAATGGAGTCAAGGCTACCAGGCTACCATGCAGCAGTAGCAAGCTTACCCTACCTCCGATCCCAAAATCTGAACCACCTAGACTTTCGAACACTAAAACCTACTAAAATACCTGTCAGTCAGCTTGGCCTGCTGCAGCAAGTTTCAACCCAAGGCCGCGAACCCTCAGCCACAGCCGAATAAGCCCTGAATGTCCTAAACCTGTTGGAAGCGTGGCTGGACTAAATTCTTCCTGCTTCGGGCCTGGTGTTGAAAAGGATTTCACCCCGATCCTGGTGATGAATCGCAGATGCGGCTCGTGCGAAAAAGCCAGCTTTGCATAGTCACTTGTTGCTCCTGGGCCGACGACTACCCTGACTGATCATCATGTTGCTTCTGCATCGTATGAACTCCTCACGCAGCTTTCAGCTCTACAACAGGCTTTGCAACAAAATCCACGGAAAGAAGCACAAAAGCGCTCCACATTATGACATTGCAATCTAACCAATGCTATAGCCAAACAGAGCTTCTTTCCGTGGAGCTATGTTTCGCTTTGGAGCGTGGCTCTTCGCATCGAAACTACATACACGCAAGGCTGGCGTCAAGAGCAGCATCAACGATCATCCTCCTCCCCAATGCCACAATTTGATCGCCACCGACATCATCCTCGCCATCGTGTTCATGATCACCATCATTCTGTTCAACCCGGTCATGGAGATCCTGACGGTGTTGAGCAGCAGAGCAGCTTGTCCACATGCTTGCTCTCAAAATCACTGGCAGCTTGACCTCTACCACTCTGGCCATGCTCATCAGCATATAGCCTCGATACGATTCTCGCCATCGTCACCATGATCATCATCATCATCGTCATCATCAACATCATCAGCAGCAGCAGCGGTGGCGGCGTCATCCTAACAAGCCGCAGCCAACAGCAACAACAGCAGCATCGTAATAATCGCCCATTGCCTGCCTCGTCATCGTCATGAAGATGTCCGTTGCCGCCTTCTTCACTATCGTCACCACCATCGCGGTCCACCATCCCCGCCAACAACGCCACCAAGGCAACCAGCACCGTCAGCTCCAGAGCCAGCACCACCACTGTGCCGCGTGTGCCTCAACAACCCTGCCCATCGTCCTTACACACACCAACGCCCAATAAACCATCCAAAACCACCCCAAAAACGTGCCTTGCCTTCCAAAGCCCCTCCTACCTGCCTGCCATCCACTTTACTTGCAAACCCCACTAACAACCAAACTATCTGCTTACCTACCGACCCACCTACCCACCTACCCACCCACCTACCTACTTACCGACCGACTTACCTACCATCATCCTCACCATCGCAATCGTCATCATCATCATCATCATCATCATCATCATCATCCGCCTCGTCGTCGTCATCGTCATCATCGTCATCGTCATCGTCATCATCGTAAGCATCGTCATCGTCGCCATCACCGTCATCATCATCGGCAGCAGCATACAGTATTCAACATCATATGAACCATCAGGAAGATGATCATGATCATCATTAGCATCAGCAGCAGCAGCAGCAGCAACATCAGCATCAGCACGAGCATCAGCATGAGCATCATCATCTCCATCATCATCACCACCGCCATCATCCTTATCATCATCACCATCCTCATCAACACCATCACCATTACCATCACCATCACAACCACCATCATCATCATCACCATAAACATCGGCACCACTACCGGCACCACCTAATATGCCTCTTCTGTATTATTATGCCCGGCACAGGGCACGAAAGTCTGCCAGCAAAACTCCAAGAAGTGCAGCCTGATCAGGTAAAGGCCCCCTGATGCAAGTCCCGATGTGGACTTCCGAGGCTCGCTGGGCCATCCACAGGTTTTTGTAATTGGATGGATCTGTGTCCGTCCCCAGCGGAATGTCATCCTCGGCACAGCGGTGAGGGTATCCACGGTGAGGTGTCACCGGGTGTCGGTTTGTGAATGCCTCACAATGCAGCTCATGTTGCAGCCAAGGCTTCAGGATGCCCAGCGACTTAGGCGACATGCCGCTATTATTCCCTACAGCACACCCCAACCTGCGACACTAGAAGTATGGAGAGTCAACCCTCTGAGCAAACGGGGGACAGCAGCGTTTCAAGATGCAGCGGCAGCGAGCAGATGGTGCTTTGGGGTTAGTAGACCATAATAGCGGTGCTGCCAGATACGTAGCACCAATGAATCTAGATTTAGATTTGCTGATTGCCCGAGAGCCTGAAAAGGAATCATGATGCCATGATGCCAAACGGCGAAGCCCGCGACTCCAACTCCCCGTCTCTAGTCCTATCGTCTCCTTCCTGGCGCTGTCGGCCAAAGCACAGTTCCGGTGGTCCGTATCGTCTGTGCATCATCCTCAGGTGCGAGGGGAGTGTGCCAAAACATCAAGCTTCGGACTCTGTTCTTAGAAAACTCCCCACAAAACGTCCTAAACATTGTCTGCGGCCCTGCTGGGCAATCACTGCTTAAGTCTCGCAAACCTCTGATCCAAGGAACACCCGTCCCTTTAGCTATGCTGTCTGATCCCGAAAACCTGTTTGTTTGTTGCTATTTGCTGCATGGACAGCAAAGGCTGAAACACATCAGTACAGGAGGACTGCCGCCACGGCCATGACATCGACACGTGTCGTGCAGTCCACCCAGAATTTCGATCCAGTCATGATGTGTGTCCCCAAACAGACTTATAATGCTGCAGCTGTACCCGACCACATGCGAATCTCATGTCCTAGGGCCAGAAGCCCAAAAAGCTGACCCTCCATGGCTGCGCATCAGGGCTGGACAATGGGCCTGGAAACCCTTCAAGGTAATCCTAGGACAAGACTACCGGAACAAGCAGAAACCTCTGCCTTAAGCTTGACAGCCAACACCGTGACAGGCCCAACACCCCAAGCGCCAAACCCTTGTCTCAGTCCTCAAGCCCTCAGAACCCAAAACCAAAAAAGCCCAAAACCCTAAGCCCAAACCCCACCCCAGTCCCCCCCCCTTCCTGACAAAAAACAACACAAAACAATAGGTCGAGGCCCGCGCTTGCCGCCACGTCTGCTGCTTCAGGCCGTTGACAACATGCGGCTCCGGCTGCTCTTCCTCCTGGAGGCTGCGAATATCATGTTTTATTGTTGGCGGCTTAGGGCTCAAGATGGCCAGACCTGTTTTTGCACTTTACGGTTCTGGGTTTCGCCTTGAAGCTTCATTCAGAGATCACGACAGCGAAGTCCGTGGATCTGTATCCACGCCCCTGCGGGCAACAGCCCAAAAACCTGCAGATTCAGACGCCCCGGCTGTCGAACCCAAGCCTACACAGACACCGACGCCCAAAAACAAGTTGTGCCACAATCTCAACCGCGTACCCCAGTGCATCTCAAACTGCGGGATCTGACATCTCCTTCAACCCGAAACCCTTCAACTCCAATTGTGGACTCCAGACGCGTCATAAAACCACCCATGAATCCCGAAACCGGGAATCGAAGTCAACCGTGAACTGAAGTCCTGGGCCTCTGCAGAGCCAGGAGGCTCGGTGACAAGCGGCTGCCTCGGCTCAGAGGGGCGGAAAACGAGTTGCCGGGAGGCCTTCGAGGTGTATCGTATTGGGGAGTGGGCTCTTGAGGCTGGAGTCTGGAGCCATTGGGCTGCATCTTAGGCATTGGGATTTGGGATGCTGGCTGCCATCCAGGCTGTCGGGCTTCTTCGGCTTTGCAGTCGGCTTTGCGCGGCGAGATCTAACAATATCTCACTACATCCGGACGCTCATTGGCCTCCCACGACCTTGCTTTGGCCAGGCGTAGAAACTGAATCATGAACATCACAAACCCGACACTCGGTGTTCAAGACGCGACGTTAAGTCCCTGCTTCCACCCGACAAAAAGCCGTACGTAGTCTCTCCAGAAAACAGCTATCTGCGAAACAAGCTTTGTGGCTCGAGCTGGGCGGCGACAAAATCACTTCCTCGCCATCCTCGTCCTCCTCGAGTGCAGCTTCCCCTTCCTCAAGTATCCTTGGCTGCCGGGGCATCGGGGTCGGCTAGCCGGGCTGCTGCAGGTTTTAGTCCGAGAGACCCCACTTCCGTTTCCCTCTGCTGTAGAGCACCCTAGAGTACCCTGAAATTCCACGAGGGCCTCACAGTACCCTGGCACTCCCCATTCAGCTATTCAGCCTCTGCGACAGTCTCATGTTGCATCTTGCCTTGCATTAGCTACGGATTGCTGCAGGGTCTGAAGGGCACATCCATCTCGAGTAGACTTGTATGGATCGTCACTACGAGGGAGTGTGGCTTCAGGATGAGCTACTCGCAGCCAGGGTAAGAAGAACCATCATGACATTCTTCATCCCACTAAACCTAATGACCACAGTCATGGTAGTGCTCAGATGGAGGTGACAGCTATCGTGGTGACCATTGTAAGCTATGCAATTTACTAGAAGCAATCGCGAATGCAGGCAGCGAAGAACTAATACGGCAAATTGCTGTGGGATCTTGTTGGCCTTCTTCTTCGCCAAAGGGGCCTCGTAGCTGGGGAATCTCTGAAAAGCTATGGATACCTGCTTCGTGGTTCAACTTGATAGGATATGTTCGAGCTATTGTCACACTGGCAGGGCTGGGCTGAGCATGCCTGAACTGTGCTACCTCGCTGGGCTGGGCTGGGTGGCTGGGCTGGGCTCTGAGCTGGGGTGAGTCGGGCTGGACGCAAAAAGATGCGAGCAAAGATTGCAGATCATGACTTTGTCGGCTGTTACGGTGCAGTGACGATGACAATCCTCATGGCCATGGCGAAGATTGTATTCACCAGCCCTGCTGAAATCTTCATCATCATCATCGTCATCAGCAGCAGCAGCAGCAGGAGCAGGAGCAGGAGCAGGAGCAGGAGCAGGAGCGGGAGTAGTAGTAGTAGTAGTAGTAGTAGTAGTGATAGTGGTAGTAGTAGT